AGCAAGAAACTCTTTTTGCCTGTATGTGTGTCTGTGTGTCCTTCTCATATCTCGAGAACCGTTCATCCGATCTACTTCACACTCGGCGGGTGTGTTGATGGGGTCCCGAGGACGTGCAGTGACGAAGTTGGTGCAATTGGGACACACGACACGTTCAATATTAATGAAATTTGAAGAGCGCTTTTCAAAATAAACTTCCGTTTTAACAGAAAACAACTCGGTTTAGGCAGCAAAACTACTTAGGAAGGTTTAGGAAAAGATGGTCTTTTGTGTGTGTGTGTGTGTGTGTGCTGTGTTCACGCTGTTCACTTCGTCCCAACAGGCAAATGGCCCAAGGCTTGCAGATGGCCGAGATAGCCCAGTACAAGAAACGGAAAGCCGAGAAGCAACAACAGCAGGAACAGCTTGCAAAGAAGAAAAACTGAGGTAATGTTATGCATTGTAAAAACAAAATGTATAACATTACTGGCTTGGTTGGCAACACAACTCATTTTTTGGCAAATACTTGTCAGCATGAACTGTCTCAAGGTGTCACTGCAGTTTGTTTGCATTCAGTTGCATCTTGATTACGAGGAAGAAACATTGGCCACAATGAGAAGCAGCTGCTCAAACGTTGGGTTCTGGTACAAAAAAAAAAGTGCTTTTATTTTGAAAACTAGACATCCATCTTGAATCTGCAGATGGAATTTCAAACTATGACAGTGATATTTTACCAGACCGTGGTCCTGACCAGATGTTTCTTGCTGCAGGTTTTTTGCTTTTCTTTTGAGTTGGTTTCTAATCAAGATTCAAGTAAATGCAAATAAAAGACAGAGACATTCAGACGTGGGGGTTTTATGTCCATAAATTAAAAATCTTTACTGTTTTCATCAGAAGGGGGAGAAATACCATTTTTGGTGAGTTGGTCACTAACAAAACTCAGTTCTTCTACTTTACAAGTTTTGAAAACGCGTAACTTTCTCCACGTTACTGTTCATCCCGACAGTCACAAATGTGACGTCACGTCAAATTATTGTCTTGTCGGGTAACTTAGCTAGTAGCCGGACCTGCTTTCCTGTGTTTGTATTCTATTCTACTTAAAAAGATTTCGATTTTTAGATTTAGATCTTGCGTTAATTGTTTCTTCCCTTTATCCTTCCCCCTCCTCACTCTCTCTCCCCCCTGCGTTTGCCAACACATCAGCGTCGCAGAGGACGAGTCGAAGGACCTGAAGCATCTGTTTCACAAGGCGGTGAAGAAGATCACTCACGTCCGCGTCGTCACTCAACTCTACGCGCCCGAAGACGACGGCAACGCCCTGATTTTGCACCACTGACCGACAGGAAAACTACAATATTTAAACTCTGAGCGGACGTGATCGAGAAGAGGAGAACTTCAGGTCAAGATTTAAGATTAGAAATCATCCTTATGAAATTCATCCGCTGTGAACAAGTTCCCAGGAGGAGACATCGTGAAAGTGTTCATTCAGATTATCGCCACGTGTGTCGGTGGGTGTTAACGGCTCGAGGCGAGGAGATGAAGTCGTGTGTTAGAGGCCGAGGAAGTGGCGACTCAGCAGAGCAGGGATCTACGGAAAACTGTCCGTCAGCAGCGGCTTATCTCTTGTTCGTTTCCTTCTCCTTCGCTTCCTTGTTCCTCCGTTTGAAGGGAAGGAGAGGAAAATGTCAGAAAATGGTGAAACTGTTTCCCAGAGTTCAAGGTGACGTCTTCAGGTTTCTTGTTTTGATTCACTAACAGTGAAACAAGAGATAGGAAAGGAAACAAGAGAGGAGAGAAGGAAAAAGAGAGGAAAGGAAACAAGAGAGGAGTGGATGATAAAATATTGTGTCATCTTAAATACTGTTTGACATTTGAATCATCTTGCAGGCATTTATTTATACTGTTTCATTTCTTATATTAGTTGGAAATGATCCTGAATGTGATCAGATAGTAATTTAGATTTTTCTCTCTTTGCAGTGTTGAGTCCACTTTTATTTTGTAACCACACCGCAATAAACCTATTGGTGCTTGAATTCAGTGTGAAGATCTGTGTGTGTGTGTGTGTGTGTGTGTGTGTGTGTGTGTGTGCGTGTGTGTCTCGTCCAGTAATAATCAGTGATTATTTAAACAAACCCACAGCGCCCTCTAGTGACGCAACAGAAAATACACTTTGCTGGAGCTACAGATGGCGACCTGGAAGCTCTACAGGATTATCCCTGCTGATCCTCACTGTGTGTGTGTGTGTGTGTGTGTTTAAAATATATAAACTAACAGGCGAGCACCACGCTCTTTTATTTGTTTCGTTTTAATAATTTAACTCACATAAATTACGGAAAAAAAGTAGTTTTTTAATAAAGCTTTCTTCGCACCGACATCCGTGTGATTCTGGTAGAGATTATTTAATCCTTTTTATTTGACTTAATTTATTCAGTTTGTTGCCAAACCATGTCTCCTACAACATTACTCTCCCATACAACTAAACTTCGAGGGAAATGTGTTTTCTCCCGTATCACAGTCTCAGTTTTGAAAACACGTTAACGTAAAAGTTACAAAAGTACTTGTACACACGGGACTCAAACAGCAGTATTCAGAGTTTATGAGGCGACTGTGGCACATGGAGTAGAGAGGGTCGTCCAGTAACCGCTGGGTTGGCGGTTCGATCCTTGGCTACCACGTGTGCTGTGTCAAAGTGTCCTTGAGCAAGGCACTCAACCCCTAACTGTTCCCCGGGCGCTTCTCAATAGCAGCCCACTGCTCCTATAGGGATGGGTCAAATGCAGAGATCTTTTAAAACAAATGTCCCCTTGCAGCATTAATAAAGCATCTATCTGTTTGGACCCATCCACAGCTTTGACCGCCTCCATATGCAAACATCTGCAGATTAATGTGAACCTTATTTCTGATGTGTTTAAAGTGCATACTGCTACATACGTATGTGAATGCAGCATGCACTACATTCCGACGTACACACTCCGTTAACACATTGCAGCTTAAACTTTGACCCTCAAAGGATTATGGGTCAGAATAGCCAGGAGAGCATGCTGGCTTGCAAACTGCAAAATGCATCGTGGCATCAGGACATCAATACTAACATTATGAAGAGAATACAGGTGAACAGAATACAGAACACACGTGTGTAGTGTGTGTTTAACTATGAATTAAAAATGTCCCTTTATATTATTTAATGCACCATTTATCCGGTAATATTAATTGAATCACTGTTTAACACCGTTTAACAGACAGAACAAGCATGTATCTGCATGCAAGTTAAATAGTTACTGAGCAGACAGCTACTGGTTGTGCTGGAAAGCGTATCGGCTCTTTTTCTGACTTCGTGTGTGGTTTACATGTCGTGCAACCGACAGACAGCGAAGGGCTCCCAACAAGCTGTCGTGTGTCACAGTTTACAGAGCTGTGATTACCGGATTACAATCGTAATGTTGTGCAACATTGTTTTTTGGAACTTTAATGTCAATAAAGCCACTTTGAAAATAAAAGAATCCCGAAATAAATGGACATTTTAACATATTTGCTGCAAGAAATCTGCAGTTTTTACAACTGAAGTGGTTCCAGTTTACCACAACTACTTCAAAATACATGAAATATACACTGTAAGCACTTATACTCACTGCACTCACTGTATTATAGAGGTTAAAGTTGGCATGGTGAGTGAATGATCACAAAAAAAACGTGTTTGAACATGTGCAGAATTGAACAATTTGTTGCCAGTTGAACAAATAAACTGTGTGTCTGTTTAAATTGTCAACAGCAGCAACTGTGCTCGTTCTGAAATAACAGACCGAGTCTGCAACAAAAGGAAGCATGCTCTCCTTTGTGTGTGTGTGTGTGTGTGTGTTTCAGCTTTGTTGGCTCTGCTCCTTTGTTGCAAGCGCAATAGGCAGCAACTGGGTTGTTGTAACGCGCCACTCCGACCAGCAGAGGGCGCTGTGTCAACATCCAGTCAGGACGAGAGGAGAGAAATATATAAAGAATATAGAAGGTCCATAAAAATGCTAAATAGAAGCTAAACAAACATGGCTTTATGTCAATGAATGTCTATTTATGATATTCTGCTTTCTTTACTGTTGTTTACTACTTTACAATCTCACCAATCTTCCAGAAATCAGCTCCAGAGCCACAACGTAAATAAATTCAACATAAATTCACATCTATGGTCCAAATTGAAAAAGATGTAACTCAGTAAGTAATATCAGGATTAGAGCACTCATTTTAGAGTCAAAACAAACTATTTCTGTCATTAAAAACATGATTTACTACATTTACTAATTTCAGGATCATACCACATTTTCAAAATCACATTTTCTCTAATATTTTAAGAACTTTACATTAAAAAAAGATAATAAATCTTAAGGCCAAAACCTGCAGACGAGAGGGGTCCGAACACTGAGGAGCTGTTTGTATCTTCAGTCTATAAGTAAAAGATCTAATGTCACTAAATCAGCTTTTATTTACAGGAGACAAAGGAGGATTTTAACGTGTTAAAAAGTACAATATCTAGGTACAAGTACAAGTATAAAGCTGCATGAAAGGGATATACTCATATTTAGAGTAGAGTAATGTTACAAGTACCTCCCTCAAAATTGTACTTGTATAGTATTTTCATAAATGTATTATTTTTTATTTGATGTCAGTGTAATGACTTCATAATAATAATACCTTTTAAAATACTATATATATATAGATATAGATATAGATAGATATATAAATATCTATCTATATACATATATAAATAAATAAATATATATATATAAATAAATATATATATATAAATAAATATATATATATATATTTTTTTAAATTTTATTTTATTTTTTACCTCAACAAGACTGCGCGACGTGATTGACCACACTTATCTGACGCCGCGAGGCACTTAATAATGTCTCGCATAGCAATTGGTCGAGACGAACGTCAGTCAAAAAACCAACTGAGCCAATCACAGCCCGCGCTCCACTCTTTTGTTCCTCCCGTTTCGGTGCGTGACGCAAGAGGGTCACGTGTTGTTTGTGCTCTGGTAGAGATGTGTACAGGAGGAGAAGGCAACGCATTGCTAACCGCGCTAGCTAGATTATAGTCAACGCGGCTCGAGCGTTGGTCATGTTGCACACGGTGCGATTTATTTTGTCATAAAAAAAAGTCCGCGTTGGATTACCTCCGCTTCCGGAAGAGGAAAAAAGGACGAGGTGGGGACTATTTTTTTGACCGAACAACAGAGCCGGTTTTCGGGAGAAGAGAAAAGGACGAGGACCGTAGAGAGTCAACGTTAGCTGGCCTAGCCAGGACTCCTCCACGAAAAACAAGAATGGGGTCTCTAGGTCCACTCGGATTAGCTTGCTGGTAAAGTGACCTTTTTATTGTGTTCCTCTGATGGCGAATTTCACGAACTACCAGGAGGGCAAAACGGCGATGTTGTTGGTGGACGTGGGGACTAAATCTGCTGCGGACGGAGACGGGGAACCCCCTTCTTCTTCTCCGTTAATTAATAACATCGGTAGCGGCGGTAGCGGTAGCGTCTCTCGCTTCCATCAACATTTACCGCATCACCACCAGCAGCCAAAGGATCAACCGCATCACCACCACCACCAGCTGGCTCCGCAGCAGCATCTTTCCGAGGACCCCGCTGCTGCTGCTGCTGCTACTACCGCTAGCAGCGGCAGCAGTAGCAGCGGCCACGTGTACGCGGCCGTTAGCGTCGCGAACACCGCGGCGGACAGTGTGGTGGACGATATTCGAAAATGTGGCTACCTGAGAAAGCAGAAACACGGACACAAGAGGTTCTTCGTGCTCCGGGCCGCCAGCCGCCTCGGACCGAGTCGCCTGGAGTACTACGACAGTGAGAAGAAGTTCAGGAGCAGCCTGCGCTCCGCTGCCGCCGCTGCTGCTGCTGCTGTGGCTGCCGCGAGCGGCAGCGGAGGAGCGGTCGCCGCCGCCTCTCCCCCGAAAAGGGTTATTTACCTCTACCAGTGCTTCACGGTGAACAAAAGGGCGGATTCCAAAAACAAGCACCTCATCGCCCTTTACACCAAGGATGAGTACTTTGCCATAGTGGCCGAAAACGAGCAGGAGCAAGAGGATTGGTATGTGGCTGTCAGCGAGCTGATGAACGAGGGTAAAAAAGGGCACGTGGATTCTGATGATCTGGACGATGGTTACGGTACGGTCACACCTGGTACAGTGTTTAAAGAGGTGTGGCAGGTGAATGTGAAACCTAAAGGACTGGGACAAACTAAAAACCTCACAGGTGTTTACCGGCTATGCCTCTCGACTAAAACCGTTCACCTGGTGAAGTTGAACTCTGAGACTCCCTGTGTGAACCTCCAGCTGATGAACATCAGGCGTTGTGGACATTCTGAGAGCTTCTTCTTCATCGAGGTGGGGCGCTCCTCCTCCATCGGGCCCGGGGAGATATGGATGCAGGTGGATGACTCCGTCGTGGCCCAAAACATGCACGAGACCATCTTGGAGACGATGAAAGCCCTGAAGGCTTTCGCTGAGTTTCGGCCCAGGAGCAAGAGCCAGTCGTCGGGCTCCAACCCGATGCCGTTCATCACGACGCGGCGCCACCTGGGCAACCTGCCGCCGAGCCAGACGGGGCTGCAGCGGCGGTCGAGGACAGAGTCGGTCGTCGGCACGCCGCCGTCAAGCAAGAGCTCCGGGGCTAGTGGTTATCGCTTCCGGACGTCCAGCGAGGGCGAGGGGACGATGAACCGGCCGTTCCGCTCCGCCACAGGAAGTCTGGTGCACCTCAACTCTACGCGGGCACACCACGGGCGCCAGGAAGGCGGTGGCAGCAGCGGCGGCGTCTGTGGTGTCGCCACAGGAAACGCTGGCACAAGCACGGTCGGCGGACGCTATGTCAGAGCCGTCCCGGGGTCGGCGTCCACCTACCACGCCCGCTCCGCCTCGCTGCCGGTGTCCCACTTCCCCTCCACCACCAGTCCGGTGAGCGTGTCCTCCAGCAGCGGCCACGGCTCCGTCTCCGACACGCTCACCCGCCCGTCGAGCGCCTCGATATGCGGCTCCCCGTCCGACGGCGGCTTCAACTCCTCAGACGAGTACGGCTCCAGTCCCGGCGACTTCCGGTACTTCCGGGTGCGCAGCAACACGCCGGACTCTCTCGGCAACACCCCGCCAATCAGAGAAGAGAACTGTCTGAACGATTACATGGCGATGGGCTGGAACCGGGAGGTCTTCGGCACCAGCGGGGGCTCTGGAAACAACAGCGGTGGTGACACGCCGCGGGACGAGAGCACATCAACGACGGAGGACGACCGCTTTTCTTCATCATCATCGCTGAGGAGGAGGGCGCACTCTTTCTCCAGAACGGCCGGCGGCGCCACCGGCGGTTCTGGGGTTGCTGTCTACCAGAAAATGACCCAGACTAACTTCTCGTTGGACGAGGGGTCGGATATTGTGTTGCCGTTTGGCAGCGGGCTGCTCCGCGGCGGGCCGTCTTCCTCCTCTTCCTCGCTCCGCTCCGACTACAGCTCCTGCTCCGAGCACAGCCAGCAGAGCCGTCCCTCCACGCTCTCTCGGACGGAGGCCGGTGGCGAGCGCCCTCCGCTCTCCTCCTCCACCTCTGCCAAGGAAGACAGCGGCTACATGCCGATGTTGTGCGGCGTGGCTGCTTCGCCGCGAGACACGCCTCCCGATTACATGCCTATGCAACCCGGCTCCTACACCCACCCCGTCTCCCAATCCCCTCAGTTTCACAGTCCAGCTTTAGGCCCCCGCTCAGCCCACCACCACCAGTCCCAATCCTCCTCAGACTCCCACGGCTACATGATGATGCTCCCAGGACAAGCCTCCCCGAGCCCTCACAGCAGCTCCAGCACGACAGGCGCCGGTGCGAGTGACAGCATAGCGGAGAGACCCGAGAACGGGGAGTATATGGACATGTCTTACTGCAGCAGCAGCGCAGAGCGCAAGCTCTCAAATGAAGGTAACGGCGGTTATTACACGCCCGGCACACCCGAGGGCACCCCAAAGTCTTACAGCCCTTATTTCTCCCTCCCTCGCTCCTACAAAGCTCCCACCAGAGACAGAGATGAGAAAGAGTACGGGGAGTATGTTCCTATGAGTTCTCCCGCCAAGCACGTCTATTCATCTGTCGCCACGGCTTCAATGTTGACACCGGAGAAGAAGGGCGGAGGAGGTAGCAACACCTCCACCCCCTCGCACCCACCCCCGCCTTATGGGGCGCACCATACGACCGCAGCAATAGCCGACCGCCGCGCCGCGAGGCCCAACCGCCTCCCGCTAGGCAGGAGGAGTTTCCACGGTCCGCTGCGAGTTAGCGAGCCCTCCACCACGACGTCGGCCGGCAGCTCCACCTCGGTCCCCGCCGCTGTCGGCTCATCTGAAAGGCCCTCAAGTCCCGGGGAGTACATCAACATTGAGTTCGGGGATCATTACCCCCATCAACAACAGCCCCCTGCTTATCCCCTCTCTGCCCAAGACAAAGCACCTTCCCTGGGGTCTAGTGCCCACAGTCGCTCCCCTCACCAGGACTACATGAGTGTGGAGGTGGCGGCGGTGGCGGACCAGCAGGACAGCGCCGGGTGTTTGGGTAAAAAACAGTCGTCGCCCAGACCCAGCCTCGTCGCCCCCTGGAACCCACCCAGCTACATCCGACCCTTGGCTACCAATCCCGGAGCTTCCGCCGGAGGGCACTGGAAGTCGATGGGGGACGACTACACGGACATGACGTTCAACCTCAGCAGAGGAGAGAGGACGCAAACGAGCCCCACGGCCATGCTGCAGCACCTCTGCGTGATGGAGGAACATTACGGCCACGCTCCACCCGCCGCCTCCTCCATTTCTCCCCCTCTTCCACCGCCGACGCAACAGCTGGAGCCCAGGGTGGTTCGCGCGGACCCCCAAGGCAGGAGGAGGCACAGCTCGGAGACGTTCTCCTCTACCTCCTCCTCTAATTCAACCCCCTCTGGAGCAGGACCGGCCCCCGCATCCTCATCCACCCACCCGACACTAGCCAACACTGCGGCCTCCAACGGCTCGTACGTAACGGAGGGTCAGGCTTCCAGGTGGGCCAGCTCGGCCTCTTTCGACAGCATGTGGGTGTCCATGGAGGGTCTGGGGGACTTGCCGGCTCCCCATGCCCCAGTTAGAGCCATGGAAATGGCCACCACCGCCGCCGGGACCTCCTCCTCTGGCAGAATGTGCCGGAACATGTCCGTGGGCTACCAGAACGGGCTGAACTACATCGCCCTGGAGCTGAGGGAGGACGGGAGCAGCGCTGGAGACGGTGACAGCAACGGGAGCTCGACGGCAGCGGCAACGTCGGTGCCGGAGAACGGCGCCTACGCCAGTATAGACTTCACCAAATCTGACGGGGTGACCACAACAACAAAGGGTGAGTAAATACAAGCGTGTGTTTAAAGTGTCAGGAAGCTGTTTTAAAGATGCTTTGTTTTACTTTCACAATCATATTTGGCATATTTTTCTTATTTGGGAGTTTACACAGCAGCCAGATAATAGTGTCTTGCTTCCATGTGAGTAAATGTTTTTTCTGAAAATCCAAAATAACTCCTTAGTGCCGCGTGCTATTATTAGTCGCATTATATCAATTTGCAGCTCCTTCTAGTGAGATCTATTTCCGATGGCGTCCCTATGATCTCGTTCAGGCGCTTTGAGCAGCCAGACAGTCGTCTTCTGACGGCATCCGTCCAGGGAACTGAAGTCTCGGCTATAACCGGGCCGGTGTGCAGGAAGTGGCACCAATATGCGGTTCATCTGGAGGTCGTGTGTGTGAGAGCAGACTGGGAGACAATTAGCTCGATGAATGGACTGAGGTTTATCTGAGGTCAAGTGTGGACTGAATCACCCAAAGCGTCGTGATTTAGTGACGCTCCATTGTTTTTCAGTTTTTGGAGATGTTCATTGAGGCGCTGTAGTTTGTGACAACTGCTGTTTTTAATCCTTTTATTCTGCAGGTAATACTTTCTCAATTGTTCACATAGTTTAAAACGTGCAACAACAACAAAAATGGTGAAAAATGACTTCCCAGGTTTCAAAATGTGACTTTTAAACAGACTAAACCCTCAAAAGTTTTACATTTACCGTCATAAATGACAAATATAATCCTCACATCTAGCTCTAATAATAGTTAAATGTAAATAATTGATACGCAGCAAATACTATGTTGACTTTATAAGACTTGGACGGTATTTGTTGTTCTGGTTGTGTGCTTCTGTTTCATTCATTTTTTATTTGCTTAATATTGTTTTCACATTACAACCTTTTAGAGTTAATAGTGAATTGCTCTTTTAAAGGGTGTACCTGCATTATTGTGCCTTTATATTATCGTTATGTCAGAGGGCATGAAGCGGTCTTAAAATGACATTAATATTGTAATTATTTCTGGGACAATGACACGTTAACGGCCTCATACACGCTTGTTTCTGTGAGTCCAGACGTGTGCGTGTTACTAACTCTTAGTGCTCCCCGAATGTTTCCCCGTCTAGCTTCGTGTGTGTTGAGCATGAGTCAGGATTCTCTGCAAACGCCGGCTGACTCATTTGTTTATCGCAGTGCTGACCGGAGATGAAAGTGTGTTTGTGTGTGTGTGTGTGTGTGTGTGTGAGAGATCAACTGACACTCAAAGCGCTCAAGCACATCCCATTCTGTGTGTTGGTCTGTCTGTGTGTACTTTTTGTTTTCAGCCGTTGCCAGCAGGTTTATTAAGTGTGTGTTAATGCAGTTCAAGGTAACATTCAGAAATGTTAATCCACACACACACTCGGTCTGTGTTGTGTGTGTGTGTGTGTGTGTGTGTGCGTTGAGTCGTGGCCGGCGGCCCCTTTCATGTGGCTCTGTAATTGCGGCGGCGGCGTGTCGAGGCACACGGCGGGGGGGCCGCCAGGAAACGCATCATCATCGCCCAGGAATGCACTTCCTGTCAGCTGTGGTGTTGAACTGATCCAGGTGATACACACCTGGATCCTTGACCCAGAGGAGGGTAGGGGGGAGGAGAGACTAGATCTGCGTCCAGCTGTCGGGGAACTTCAGCGTGACCTTAGATAAACATGAGTTCAGCTGAAGGTTGAAGACGGGATGTCGTTTAGCGGTCCAGCTGTTGAGATAGTTCAGGCGGGATTGAAAAGCATGTTGTCTTTAAACAATCGCCAAAACTACAGCGTTTATCACAGCCAGAAGCTGTAAAAACTGTCATTATCGTTAGATTTTCATCTTTCCGACAGTCCTTGAACACGTCATGTGTGACAAACGCTTCTGTCATAAAAAAGCAACCAAAACAAACCTTAGAATTGTGATATTTAACCAAAACATATTCTACATGTCTCATTTAAAATCTCGCCCCAAATAAACAGTTTGCTTTAAACAGATTATGTTAAAAACATTCAATTCTGAACTCCTCAGAGCAACTATGAAGCCATCATTTATTTATCTGAGACCAACAGTCACGTGGCAATAAATCAGAGAATCTTCGTATTGTGAAAGGCCGAATACACGCGTGTTTTTGTTTTTATACATGTCAGCGACCACGGTGGGAAGCTGTCCTATTCTCCCCCACCCTCCCCCAAGTGGCTATGAGGTCGTAACGGGTTAGTGGGAGTGTGAGGCAGCTTTATCTCTCTGAGAAACCAGTAAGAGGTGAGAGGAGACGAGGCTGCCCTTTACTCCCCCTTTACTCCCTCTCTCGTTCCCACCTCCACAGCCGGGCCTCCGTCTATATTTACAGGTCTATTTCCAGACCCGGCGTGGATTTATGGGGCCGGTCCGAGGCATGCTTGTAACAGGACCCAGTGTGTGCTGCTCGCTCTCTTAAATAGACCGGTAGATATGCCCACAGATGTTAGAATTATTAACCGTCATGTGTGCACACGGATGTTACAGCCAATAAGGTTAATCTGCAGGTGTTTAGGTTTAGGCAACAAAACTTAGTTGGGTTGAGGAAGCTATCTTTAAATAGTTAGGTTTCGGCAACTAAACTACTTAGTTTGTGTAGAAGAAGATCGTCGTTTGGGTTAAAAATAACTACAGAAGCAGCGTTTTTTGAAGTACACAAGTTACGTAACAAAAACATCAACTTTGACGTCTCGTTTCACCCGGGGATCGAACAGCGGTCTGGCTGTGAGATAGTTTCAGTTTGGAACCGTCCACCTGCTTTTGCGGTCTTTATACTTCCTCGTTCACGTACAAAATAATTTTGCGCAATATCTACGAATGACGCCGTGTTATTCTTCGTCCGCATAGCTACGAATGCTTGTGTGGGACCAGCCTGGTAATTGATACCGATATTTAAAATAAGCATTATTCCCCGCCCTCTACTTTGCATTCATGCGATTGTCACCTGAGCGTTATTGAGGCAGAGAAGTGGAGTTTTGTTTAGATATTGGGGTGAATGTTGAGCTCTGCAGAGTGTGCTAACGCGCCGCGGTGCCCACTCAAAGGGAAATGTTGTGTCCCATCAGTAATGAATGGATTCCCACACCGTGAGCTATGTGCTCTCTGGTCTTTGGTTTCTCTTCAGCGTAGCTTTCACAGGTGGTCCCGAATGAGCTCCGGTTCCTCTCAGACATGCAGGGACTCCCGTTTCTTCTTCGTGGCTTTTTATTTCTGCTTCTCGTCTTTCTGTCTGGCTTTTTGTGTCTCTTGTCATACGGTCGTTATGAAGCAGCGACTTACTGGAATGTGACGTCGGTTAACTTCATTAGACGGATTCTGGGGAACTTTCTCACTATTGTACAATTTGAACAAATTAATACATTTGAATTGTATAAAAAATAATGTGCTTGTCTCTCGCTGTCTGTCTGTCGGTCTGTCCTTTTTTGAAGTATTATTTGTTAACATCCTAAACTTAATATTTGTGCGTTGATGTTTGAAGACGTTTGAAGATGAACTCGCCCTTTTTCCTCTTCTTCTCTTTCAGACTGAGCGACGGGACGTTAGAGGCTCCTCCTCCTCCGGGTACTTGACTCTGTGACCTTTTGGCCCCCCCCCCCCCGGTGACCTCTGACCTCTTCAGACTGGATGCAGATAAACAACAGATGACAAAAACGCTTGCAGATTTTTTCCTAAGTGTACGTCATCTCTGATTTTTATTTTTTGTGTTTTTATATGCATATCTTTGTTTTTTAAATCACGATGGGTGCTGCCAGTGTGCGCTGCTCGCTCCACCAGACGTCGGTCAGCGGACTCTTTGTTCTCCGTACGGTATTAAAAAGGGAGGCAAAGGCATTAAGGTACCTACTTGGAAAAAATGTTGAATTTATAATATTCATTTTTATCTTATTATTATTATTATTATTATTATTATTATTTTTACCCTCCTCGTGCATAATCCTTCCTCAACACGGTACCGTACAGTTATTACACATTGTGGACAAAGTTGTAGAGAATGTACTTTTATTTTTTGAACAGATTACCAGTTAATAAACTGGGAGCTATGGAGCCGTACCAGCTCATCAAACACACGCTCTGCAGCACATATTGTTATTTATTGTTTGCAAACGGCACAAATACTCCGATACATTTCTGTAGTTTGCTTTCACGGCAGCGACGGTCGACTCCTTCGCAGATAACGGATGTTTTAAAGGGATAGTTCATAAAGATACAGAGTGTTTTAGGCGATCGGAGCGCTTCTAGTTGAAGATCTCTAACTAGCGCTTGGCTTAAAGCCTTCCAGCGACCCAGAAGCTCGTTCACTAAACTGGTTTTATCCTTCGTTTGTCGTAGAAAAAGTGCAAAAAATGACAATTCACCGACTTTCATCGATCTTGTTCTAACAGAACTATCCCTTTAAAAGTAATAATGACAAACTAATAACGAAAGTAGCTCGTAGAGGTTTTTGGAAGCTTGACCGGCTCGTGTTCTCTTTTCAGTTTTACCTCACGAGGTCCGTCGCACAGTTCAAGTTAGCGAGGGAGAGCGGCAACACACACACACACACACACACACACACAAAATGCTGTGAAAGCTAAAAAAGCACAAAGTAAAGACTGACACTGGGATGCAAACACTAAGACTGACGCAGACATGAAATCTCTGCAAGTGAAGCTCACACATGCACACACACGTCATGAAGAGACACATGTCGCGGTCATGCGGTCCGCTCTCATAACGCATGCAGTAAGTCACGCAGCCCTATTTAGGCGAGGCTAACTCCGCTGTGCTCCCATTTGGGCTCTTTGTCAGCGGATCTTGATGACGCACAGACACACTCGCACACACACACACACATATATGCATGCTTTGGTTTTCGTCACCGGCTCCGGGTGACGTAAAGAGGTTTCCAGTAACCGCAGCTGCAGCCCCAGGTGCAGCGCACTGGTCATACGTGCCCTGCTGCAACCGCGCACACACACACACACACACACACACTACACACACACACACACACACACTATCACAGTCTGCCTCTTCTCTCTCTCACACTTTAAAACACTGATACGTCTTTATTTAACATTTCTACTCAACATGTGCTTAAAGAACTCAAAGACTGACCGCTATCGTAGCCAACGGAAATGCAATTTTTTATTATTTACATTTTTTTTGTTCAGTATTCACTCATCTAATCTGCATCCCGCGTTTGTTTGACTTCCCCTTGTTGTTTTTATTATTATTTGGACGTATCATCGTCGTTTTTCGGGCCCCGTGCAGCAGGAACGCTGAGGAATCTTTCGATGAATATTAATCTCTGAACGTGAACGTCCAGAACTCTGCGTACGTTAAGAACAGAAACGGCTGTAAGCGGTGTGACTGCGTGGTGCACATGCTGAAGTCATGTGTGATAATTAAAGTTTGACAACTTGAATACAGCTTTAAACACTCTAAAGCTGCAGTATTTGTTTATTATTATTATTATTAATAAATAAAAGATTCATAACTTGCAAAAACAGATATTCAGCAAAAAAAAGCAGTTTTTGCTCGATTTGACGATGTCCTGAAGCTCAGAAAGATATATTTATTTTAATATATTTTGTGCGACTAAGATGAAGCTTTTTTTCTCGTGTGCACAAGGTTTAAAATAAAAAAAATCTTTCAAGGCTTTAACGGCTCCATAAGTTTCTCTTTTACAGATCTGCTAAACCAACACGTGATCTCTATCTCACATTTAGGATGAAAGTCTTAGCATGTGCACCAATCGGTTTTTTACACGAGGATATTTCGTGCCACGTCTTTTAATCCTGAGCTTCGTGGTTACAGATGAGGCTTCTTCTGATTAATTATCGGATGTTTAGATTAGAGTTTATTCGTTTCGTCTAAAACTGAGCCAGAAAACAATGAATCGTAAATTTCCGAGAGCTCAAAGTTGTCAAATACTTTTTTTTGTCTCAAAGTCTAAAACTCGGATATTCAATTTCATAATCATATAAACGGTGAAAACTAGCTCACATTTACAGAAACTGATAAAAGTGTTTTTTTTCTCACTTAAAGTCATTCAATCATTTCAAAAGTTGATACTTCCTCGTCTGTGTTTACAGCCCTGGTTTGTTTGTCACTCAGTGTGCGTTGGGAGTTTTAACAAAACGTTTGATGTCCCAGTACGGCGCCATGAGGAGCTCCGCTTGAAGCAAATCCCCAAACGTCCGCCCTCTTCCCCTCCATCCCGTCTGCCTTTATAACCAGCGACGACAGCCAAAAAGATAAAGAAGGATATTTTTATTTTCGGCCGGTACAGAAACAGGAAACGGTTCTTTGCCTCCGGAGGCGTCGGGATGTTAAACCGTCATCAGATCCACGTTTTTAACGGTCTGATTCAAAAGCCTGTGACGTGTCTTATATGTACATTATAAACATTTTGACATATTTTCTCACCTTTTTGAGCGAACAAAGAATATAAGAATATTTAGGCTGCGGTGGCCCGAGATTTGTTTCCTTTTTTTTTTTTTTTACGTTTTAACATTACTGCAAAATAAAAGAGGTACTTTTCGGTGGGATTTTGGGAAGAATCCATCTTAATTTATTTGAAGCATTATTCGGATAAAAACAAAAAGGATAAATGTCTGACTGCCTTTGTGTTGAAGTTCACCCTCCTGTTGAATCCTTTTTGTCATGACTGAATTCATTTACACAGAATCTGTGTTTTATTTTGGCAACAGTTCAACCTCAAAAAACTGTCAATGTTACAAAATTTCTGATGTTGGAAAGAAAATCTT